CACTTAATTAAAATAAACCTTATAAGCTTAAAACGAACGCCTTAGACTTTATACTAGGCGAATAGCTTAGATAATAAGATAATTAAGGAAGATTACACCTAGTTATATTCTTCTTAAAGAAACTCTACGAACCTAAACTTAATTATAGGATTTATAATAAAGAACTTATAGCTATTATTAAGTGCTTTAAAGAATAAAGACACTATCTTATAGGAGTAAAGCATTAAATTAAGGTCTATATTAACTATAAGAATCTCATATTATTCTTAACTATAAAGAATTTAAATAAATAATAGATTAGATAGTATAAAACCCTTACGGATTATAACTTTAAAATTATATACTATAAAGGATCTAAAAACGGAAGAGTAAACGCGCTTAGCTAAAGAGAGGACTTAAAATCAAATAAGTAAGTGAGTAATACACCCTTATTACGCGCTATTAAGGATAAGAACCTTGTGTTAGGCACCCAAGAAATTAATATAACATGGTAAGTTAAGCCAGATAAAATATAAATGCAACGAATTGCATTATACATTAAGAATAATAGCTACCTAAACAATTAAGAAACGAAAACGCATTTATTTAAGAAAGGTAAGACCTTCTTATACAATAAACGGCAGTATATTCCTAGTACACTTTAAGAATAGCTTATTAAGGAAATACACGAGCACCCACTACACGAATTAATAAAAGCCTTTAAATAGCCTATAAAGCTTAGCTTAACTATAAAGGCATTATTAATAAGCCTATATTACTATATACACCCGCTTAAAACAGCTCTATTAAAAGGTTTAAGGGTATTTTAGGGTTAAAAGCTTATATAATATAGCTAGTAGTTAACCTTTTTACCGAATTATAGCCTAAGATTTAAAAAGCTACTACTTACCTTTATAATCTATTACTATAATAAGGCATGAACTAAAAGACGCTCTTCTAATAGCTTTAATAGTAGCTCTAATTAAATAATCGTAATATAGGTTATTTAAATAGGCCTAATATTATATATTTAGTCGCGTATAGCTGTAAAGCCTATCTAATAACCTAGGAAGCTCTTTAAGGCATTTAAAAATAGGCTCTTAAGATAATAGCCCATGTAAAAATCAGCTACCTTATTAAATATAACTTAATTAATATCTTTTATATTTGAATTCCATTAAAATTAAAAGTTAAACGGGTTAAAGATATAACCTTTAATAGAAAAACCTTTTATTAAGGCTAAATTCATTAAATTTAACTATAAAAGCTATAATAGCTTAAATTTCTGACCTATATTAAGTCTAATAATAATAGTAATATTAATAAGATATAGTTTATTATTAAAGTTAACACTTAAGGCCTTTAAGCTAATTAAAAAGAAAGTTAATTATTTAAATAAAACGCTAAAAACGCTAAAAACGCTAAAAACGCTAAAAACGCTAAAAACGCTAAAAACGCTAAAAACGCTAAAAACGCTAAAAACGCTAAAAACGCTAAAAACGCTAAAAACGCTTAAATTAATAAAAAAGGCTATAATTAACGAGAGTATAGGTTAAATCACGTGAAGCAAGTAACCGCGTTATTTATCTAGTTAATCTATAAGAATATTTACCCTTTAAGGGATTCTTTTATCTTAAATTCTAAGTTAAACATATATATTTATAATAACCTTAATTAATTTACCGACTATTAAGTCCTTTAATAGCTTAAAGAAGCCTTTATAGGTAATATAAAGCTTTAAATTAAAGGCTACGAAAAGGTCTCTCTATAAATATAGATAAGGCTTTTCTAGCTAGAGTAAGTAGCTTTTATTCTAACCTTTTACATAAATATAGCCTTATTAAACAGCTTTCTAGAAAAGAGCTATAATTAAAACCTAGTTATAAAAGCTATATTAAAGAATAATAAGGTTATCTTTTATATAAGGCGTTACTTTAAGTAGCCTATTATTAAATTTAATAAAATTTATTAAATTAAAAGCTTTGAATTTAATTTAATGTAATCTTAACCCTAAAAAATAGCCTTTATTAACCTTTAATACTAATAGCTAGGTTACTTAAACGTAAATAGCCTTAAATATTTAATCTAATAGACTATTAAATTAAAGATTTAAGGCCTTATATAAATTAATTATAAAGCCTATTTTAAAGCTAAGGCTAAAAGAGTTATCTCTTATAAAAGCTCTTGAATAATAAGCTTAAGACTCTTTTAAAGGATTTACATTAATATCTTTTAATTTAAGCCTAGCTATAATAATAAGTTAGTAGCTCTAGTAGTTAAAGACGAATTCTTAGGCCTTTTAACGGTCTTTAAGCTTAAAAATATTACTTAAGATACTTTATTATTAGCCCTTTAATTATTTAAGGCTTAAATTTAAAGGTAGTATTAATTAGACATCTATTAAATCTATTAAGATAACGATAAAAGCCTTTAAATAGCTTATAAGGCTTAAATTAACTATAAAGGTATTATTAATAAGCTTATATGATCGTATATACCCGCTTAAAACAGCTCTACTAAAAGGTTTAAAGGTGTTTTAGGGTTAAAAGCTCGTATAATATAGCTAGTAGCTAACCTTCCTATTAAATTATAGCCTAAGATCTAAAAAGCTACTATTTACCTTTATAATCTATTACTATAATAAGGTATAAACTAAAAGACGCCCTTCTAATAGCTTTAATAGTAGCTTTAATTAAATAATCGCGATATAAGTTATTTAAATAGGCCTAATATTATATATTTAATCGCGTATAATTATAGAGCCTATTTAATAACCTAAAAAGCTCTTTAAGGCATTTAAAAACAGGCTCTTAAGATAATAGCTTACGTAAAAATCAACTATCTTATTAAATATAACTTAACTAATATCTTTCACATATAAATTCTATTAAAATTAAAAGTTAAATAGGTTAAAGATATAACCTTTAATAAAAAACCTTTTATTAAGGCTAAATTCATTAAATTTAACTATAAAAGCTATAATAGCTTAAATTTCTGACCTATATTAAGTCTAATAATAATAGTAATATTAATAAGATATAGTTTATTATTAAAGTTAACACTTAAGGCCTTTAAGCTAATTAAAAAGAAAGTTAATTATTTAAATCTAATATTTTTAAGAACCTTAAATCTAATATAAGTGGCCCTTATTAAAACCTTTTAACGCTAGCTTTATTAGAGCCTTTTAATTAATTTAAAGGGCCTAAATAGTTATAACGAATTTCTAATAAAGCTCTTAGTAGCTTTTATAGTAGCTTTTTAATCGAATAGCTTAAAAGGCTATATAAAAGAAGCCTACCGCTTAAACCTTAATATTAGAAAGAGCTATAAAAGCACCCTTATAAGCTTAAATTTAAAAAGGCTACTTAAGCTAAATATAATACCCTAATTAGCTAAGAGACCTTTTAACCCGTTTAATCTAATTAAATAAAACGATTATATCGCCTATTACTATTAACTTAAGTGTTTAAATATAAATATAATAGATACGAATTCGTTAATAAATTTAAGGCCTATTTATACGTATAAGGTAACCTTTAACCACTTAATAATAAGGAGATCTACGCTATAACCTTAGCTAAAAGGTTATTTTAAACCTTAATAGCTATTATAGCTAAATTTAACCTTAAAGCTAAGTAGCTTAACGCGGTAAATGCCTTTATAAATAGCTTATTTAATGAAGAAATTTACGTTAAATTTCCTAAAGGCTTTAAAAGGCCCGGTTAAATAATAAGGCTACTATAAGCCCTATATAAGCTATAAAGGTTAGCCTTATTATAGTAATAGTCTCTTAGTAAAACCTTTAAGATGCTAGGTCTAATACCTTATTTAGAAGACCCTTATATCTTTAATAGCCTAATATTAATAGTCTTTTTTTACGTTAATAATATCGTCTTTTTATACTATTAAGTAGCTTTTAAAGCCGCTAATGCTAGCTAAATTCCTCTTTAATCCATTAAAAATCTACTAATAGGTCGTTAATTAAGTTATTAAATACCTGTATTTAACGTAATACCTAGCAATTAAATTTAATGAAAGTCCTAATAACCTAAAGCTTTAAATAGCTTTTAATACCGCTTTTATAAACGATTAATAGACCTAAAAGTCATTATAAGGCTTAATAATTTAACTATTTAATAGACCTATTAATTAAACAGCTAGTAAGCAAGATATAGTTATAATATTATCTACTAAAGCTAAATTATTAGCTTTTACATATACAATTAAAGAGACTATCGCGATATTAAGGCTTTTCTAATAGCTAAACCTATAGCTAGATCGTTTAAAGCCTATAATATAATGTAATAATTTATAGATAATTTAACTTATTAATAGTAATCTTTTAAGGCTTAAGATCGCTCTTCGTTATATTAATATTTATAATAGCTAGATTTAATAAGCCTATTAATAAGGGACCTTTAACATTAAATTCGTTTAAAGCGCTAATAATTTAGCTAATAAATTAATGAAGATCCTAATAGGCTAACGATTTAACCGCTTCGTTAAGCAACTAAGGCTCGTTAATATTATTAGCATTATTAAAAGGGCCTAAATCAACTAATCCAGCTTACCCTAATAGCTATTAACAGCTTTAACAGCTAGCTATTAACCTAATCTACGGGGGTATATTAACGCCAAAGGCCCTTTCAATGGAAAATGGCTGCTATTTATCGGGGACCCCGATAAGCCCTAAAACGCCTTAAATAGCTGCTTTTTAATTGTACGAAAAGCCTTAAAAGAAGGCTCGCGCTACCACCCCATTAAAGCCGGACCTTCAATAGCTGGATACCGTAGAACCCCTCAAATTGATTACTTTCTAGGTGACCTGTTAGACGACCTTAATATCTATAAATAAGGGCCTGTTTTCCGTACCTAGATAGCTTCAATCCCAAGGACAATTCCACTATTCAATCTGCTTCCATAGCTGTCATCGTGATACATGGGCTGCCAAGTTAGGAAATTGGGAACGCCAGCTGCAGCGCGCCCGTAGGAGGCCTCTAGCAAAGTCGTTGAGGTCGCACATCCATTGCCAAGATAAATCACATGCCCCCTTCTGGAGGAGAGAAGTATAAGGAACACAGTAGCTGTATTACTTTTGCGTTAAAAATACTCGGCATGCAACAAGTCTCATGACACGACATAATGCTTGTGACAGGGGCCCAATGGGGGCTTGGAGTCAATAGCTCAATTTAGCTAATAACAGTCTTTGGTATCAAAGATCCTTGGTTTTCCAAGAGGCCTCGAGGGACCAGAGGTCTCTATAAATACAAGAAGTCGGTGAGTGTTATGCTTCAAGTCCTGTGATGATAGCCCTCGCGTAACCGTGTGACATGGCCACATGAAATACTTCTATATTTTGGCAGAGATTTCAAGCTCACTCCTGCTTTGCTCTCGGAGAACTCGCTTTAGAATCTTGCCGCTCGCGTTCTTTGCAATGGCGTCTACAAACTTGACGCCCCCCGTCAGAGCCTTGTACTTTGCAAGGCGACTCTCCATGTAATCTTTGACCGCCTGTTCGTCTAGCTTCAAACCCTCGTCCCCTGGTCGCCGCACAACGAAGGCCCGTGGGAATTCTCCTTCCACCCCAGGGAGACTAACACCAATGACAGCAGCATCTATAATCTGTGGGTGCGAGATGATGACAGCCTCAAGTTCAGACGGCGCCACTTGAAAGCCGCGGACCTTGATCAGCTCCTTCTTCCGGTCGACGATGTACCACTTGAGTGTCTTCTCGTCACAGTAGCCTATGTCGCCGGTCTTGTACCAACCGTCTGAGTCGAAGCTCTCCGCGTTTGCCTTTGGGTTGTTGAAGTAGCCGGGAGTAACTGTAGGACCTCGGACACAAATTTCGCCGCGGACCCCATAGTCGAGAATTTCGCGGCCGTCATCGTCAATAAGCCTGAAGATTTACTGTCAGTTACGTGATTAGTGGAATCACCTCGAAATTGCCTGCCAGACTAACTTCAACTCGACGTTCGGGATTATCCGCCCCACGGAGCCCGTGTCGTCATGCTCCCCGTAAAGAAACATAGTGGCGACACATGAGGTCTCAGTCATTCCCCATACTTGAGTCACTCCTGCTCCGTTGCTGAGCAGCTGCTGGAACCTAGCTTGGAGCTGCTTGTCCAGTGGCGCAGCGCCGCAACGGGCATTCCTGATACTAGCCAAGAACGGCCTCGTTGTTGTATAAGGAGACGTTACAATGGCAATTGCAATCGGCGGCACAATAGAAAGCTCAGTAACACGGAATTTCTCCACGGCGTGCAGAAATGCCTTGAGCTCAAACCGGCGCATCAGGAACACGACATGCCCGGAGGCGAGAGCACTGACGTGCGTTAATGGTGCGACTGCGGCGTGGAAAATGGGAGTGGCGACGACGCGGGAGACCTGGTTCGCCAAAAGAAGAGCACAGCAAGTCAGTTCTCTGGCATAGTAGAGCTGTCACGCAGCCTGGCGGTGTACCGTAACGAGAGGGTATTCAGGAATGGGAACCAGGATATCCTACCTCATACGGCCGATGGTCTGCCTTGACCACAAGTTCATGCTGAGCGATCAAATTATAGTGTGTAATAGCGACAGCTTTTGGAAGCCCAGTTGTGCCACTGCTGAAAAGCCTCGCTGCTGTTGTTGACTTGGAAGCACCATGGTCATCAAACCTAAACCAGTCTTGCTCGCCATGCTTTAGAAGATCCGTCCATGGCCGCCTGCCTGCGGGAACTTGCTGACCCACGGGATTGAATATCCAAATGTTATCATCAGGGATATTGTTCTGCTTGGCAGCTTCAAGGAGGGGATTGAGTATCTCTGGCTCAGATATCAGAAAGCTGCATCCGGATGTCTTGATGTGGTGGCTGAGCTCCCCGGCCGTGTAGGCCGGATTTGTTCCGGTAAAAACTCCACCAGCACCAATGATAGCCAGAACTAGCATGGAATACGAAATCTATACGATTAGCGTGAAGAAATACTGCCACATGGTGGAATTCGTGGCTCACATCATTATATGAGTGGATAGCAATGCAGTCCCCGGGCTTTACGCCCGCTGCTCGAAGACCGGCAATAAGCTGGCGGATGATGACTCGGGCCTGATGGCATGATATTGTACGGGTGCTGTCATTTGCATCCACATAAATCTGCATCATAAATGATTAGTGTAGCTGCATGAATTCAAGTCCACATCAACATACTGGTTTGTCCTGGTCGTAGTCGAGTTCGTCAAATATGTAGGACAGGATGTCCTTGGTTGGGAGGTCGATCTGCCTAGTTGCTTTGAACATGGTGGGATGCAATTGTAGCTAGAGCAAAGGAGGTTGGAGGCCGAAATCCATCTGATTCGTCACATTTATATATTGCCGCTTGAGAGTTGAGAGCGTTTCACCAAGGTCCAGATGTCTGCTTACAAGCCGAGGTACAGCACAGTGTGAGATTGGTGCGGGGTAATACTGTCACACACTCGGTAATGGGGCGCACCTTGGATTCCGAGGTTGATGCAAGGTCCTGTAAACTATTGACCAGACAAAAAAGAACTGTGAGAAAGGTCTGGTACTAGACCGATTCAGATACCAGACGTCTGGTGCTGCATAAGAAAAAGGGTGCCGCAACGCCATCAACCGCCACACATCTTACCCTGGGCGAGGACTGCCGATCAACTACAACCTGATTGGATAGGCATCAAAACTACTTGGATATTACATCGATTGCGATGATGGCATCATAGAACATTACACCTCCTCTAATGAAGGCTCAGAGGCATTCATCGAAATGCTAAAGTGCTCACCGGCAACGACTAAGATCCATTTCTGATAGTAGACTCGGTGCCTTCCGTTGATTAGTTGGACCTTTTCCCTCGGGTACTCCATTATTTGACTCAGGTATGGTGGGTTAATTTGGCACTGGATCCGACATTGAGGATTGGAGGTTCTTGGGAGTACCCATGCGGAGCGCAAACCCCAGCATTTATTCCACTATCAGAGACGGGTCATGGGTATATTTTTCTGGTATATGGATAACTGATGCTTCTGATGACCACACGGTATATAATATTCCTGTATAGCGAACACCACCCGTAGCGTATCCGCAAATTTGGTTGCCAGAGATCTGTGGATTACAGGCGCGGAAGGCGTGCAAAAGGTCGACTTCATTTTAACTCGCCTCATGGCAGGGTCAACGAATAGCCGGAGCATCCTCCATGGGATACCGAGGACAATGAGTAATTTGGATAGACAACAGACACCTGCGGAAAAAGCATAAGCTGTCTTAAAACACGCATGTCTTCCTCTTTAAAGAACCACATGCCAGCTCAATTGCAAGGCTAGTTGGTCATTCACAAGATGCAAGACATCATAGGATAGAGTTTGTTATATAATTGCACGAGTTGGCATGCCGTAAATTTTCAATCCTTCTAAACAATCTTTCCATATCTTCAATTCTTGAGCCTCTAGCTCTGAATTTCCGGTCTAGGAAGAACTACGTCACAAAGCGGTTGCCCTGGTGAGCTTCCGAGTCGGTGCTGCATTAGTGTCACACGAAAAAATACCAAAAAACGGGCGTGGCCACGCCACGGTATTTTGTGTGTTATACACCCTCATATTCTCTGCGACACACCCCCTAGCTCTAATAGACTCGTAATCTCGTATAGCTAGAGCTATGTAAGCTTAAGATCCTAAATGGTACACGGTCGTGTGTAATAGGCATCTTACACCGCTACGGCTCAACTATCTCTATATCTAGGACGAATAGCAGCGTTATATAGGGTTTTATAATATCTGGGGTTTAAATGTAGCTTATAATAGGGTTTAAACTTAGCAGGTTAGGGTTAAAGTAATTTTTTAGGTAATTTAAAAGTTTTAAGGCTTAGCGTGCTCTCTTAGGCTTATAACTATTACACTTTAAAGGGCATTAATGATAATAATAATATATATATATAAGTTTATTA